TACATACATACATACATACATACATACATATAGACAGACTGATATATTTATTTGTTGCATTTTTTTCAAGGGCTAGATACTGTAATGTTTAAAAAAAATGATACCAGTTATATTGAAATTTAATGTTAAAGCCTCAAATCCATTACTTGTTTTTTCTTTTAGGCTTTGTTTGGCTTCCAGTTAGTAACCACATTCATTGCTGTGACAGCTCTACAGAAACTCAATGCATATTTCTCATTTGCTCAGTGGCTCATTGCAAGAGGGTATGAATACTTTGATAACTTTTAAAAATGCATGTTGTCCTAATTTTTGTTTGGGTTATTAAATATATGTACATGATAAATAATAGTAATTAAACTGCATAAAAGCCAACAAGAAATAATGTAAGCCTTTGTGAAGCACATTCTTCACATAGCTCATTAATTTGCATTTAATCTAAAGTTCTCACAATAATAATGGAATTGTTATCTTCTCAGAAATTTGACATGGTTTAAGTTACCTAATGAGCAAGAGGTTCGAAGCCAGATCAAACCTGAAAATGGCAAAAATTATCGCAGAGGAAGGTAAAAATTTACAAGTACACATATTAATTCTGGTGCAGATTGTCTTGGGGTTAGGGTGTGTTTCATCTACCAAGTGAGGCAAAAAAAATGTACATATTATTCATGAGTGAAGTGAAAAAAAATGTTCATATCCAAGACCCTGGGATTAGAAGCATCTTAAACGCCAAGTGTACTTGCTTTTGGATGTGAAAGAAAAAAGTAAATCTAAAAAGTAAATGGTCTATTCTAACCTATCCCCTTTCCCAACACCAAGACAGATGAAAAAAACAAAAATATTACCTCAGACACAACTTAGACACTTTTGGAACAGGTGAAAACTATTTAAAAAACATATTGATTTTGCTCTTCTTTTTTTTTTATTTATCACTAGTCCATGGCAAAGTTACTATCTTGTGATTTACATTTGACATTGACACTAAACTTTATAGGTGCACAAAAAATTAGAAAATAAAGTAAAGCAAAATTATCATTGTTTTCCACAGGAGAGGAGAATCAATTAAGGATGATTCATTTATTGTACCTCGAAGTCTAGACGTACAGCTGATCCCAAGACCTGTGTTGGAAGTTCATGTCATCCCACTCAGATACTATTCTGAGCTCCAGTGGCTTATTGATTTTACAGTGGTTGCAGTGGTCGTTTACATAACTACAGCCTGTTTCTATTTGTATAATTACCCACTGAAGGAATTCAATCTCAGTATGGTGTGGGTGTTAGTTGTCTTGGTGTTTGCATCGTATCCTTTATAATACGAGTCCCAGAGAGGGTTAGTGGCTGGGAATATGTGTAGGAGCAGCTAACTGCAGGTAGCCACTCTGCATACTGAACCATTAAGGAATATGGTGTAATTAAGCTGGCCGCATGCTGTGTCGGTGGCAGCAACCAGGCGCCAAAAAAAAACAAAAAGCAATGAAGTGATGATCACTAACATTATCAGTGTTATCTTTAATTTCTTAAATACTGGTATGTTGTAGTAAATTGTTGCAAATGATTGATTCCTTATAATTTCTAGAAAATACTTGTTTTCTGTTTTGAAAATGTACTTTGATACAGAAGAAAAAGGGGAGCTATGGATGTGCTTAGCAAGTGGTCTGTGCTTCCTACTTGTCGCCATGGGGATAATGCTCATAGGGGATGATATACTAGATTTTAGGTTAGATGAAGGTAAGCTGCAAATGAAAAGTGTTTCAAAAAGTCAGTGTCAAACAGAAGAGTTGTTCCAATCCTATTACCAGTATATCCTGTATAATGCAGAGAATTAAACCAATATAATTTTAGTAATAACTGTATTGTTTACTGTCAATTTTACATGTTTAGCACTACATAAAGCTTCAGAAGAGGCCGAGCTCCTACTTGAGCAGCAGTTGTCTGTGAACCGTGGGCCCATATCGAAGGGCCTCATCAAGCTGTCCTTAGCATTTACTTGTGGAATTTTAGGAGCTGTCTTGACATTTCCAGGATTAAGAATAGGGAAAACTCATCTTGACTCCCTTCGCTATAGCTCTGATAGGACATTTGTTCAGTGAGTATATCATTCAGGGGGCACCCTTTCCTATATGGTAGTAGCAAGTGAGATATGACTTGCATAAAAATAATACCACTATATACTTGCATATGATCTATAAGCATATTTAAGAGTGATTTTGTTTTAGTTTAATATTGCTGTTTTATAGTAAATGTGGGTGACATTTGATATGAGGTAGTTTTGTGTTTGCTTTCTGCTATGTTAAAGTGCTTACATTGTAATAATATTGTTATTTATTCTTACTTATTTTGATTGTATACTTCTGTATAATTATTTCAGAATGCTGTTACATTGCAATTTCATATTACCTGTGTTTTTGTTGCTGCTGTGGATAAAACCTCTAGGTCGAGATTACATCCTCAGCAATGATGTTGGACACTTACTGACAGGCGAAGATAAACCAATGTAAGTGAAAATAAGTTGTTTTGCCTTGGCGTTAACTGATATTTATTTGTTTATTTCTTGAGTAGTTACCTGGATAAACTGACTAGTTACTTGGCATATTCAGGTATAAGTACAAGCATCTCACTTATAGACTGCTAACATCACTGCTGATTTTTGTAATTTGGAATTGGATTGGATTGGATTTCTTTGGTGTAATATACACCAGGGATAACCCACAAAAGTCCTGAGACTTATTTCCAGTGGTGTCCTTCTGGTGGTGATTGGGCAGTACACCGGGAGACAATCCCCTACTCTTTTCCGAAGAGTGTACTGCGTTCTTTCGCATGCACATTGGGACAGTTTGCACACAGGACCAACAGCTTAAAAGTCTCATCGGAAAGACAGTGCGCTTTGAAACTTGCAACTTGCATTTCAGCCCTCCAGCTGAAACTCAAGGAGAGCAGTGATGGGAATTGAACCGGGGACCTAAAGATTTCCACGGTTCAGTGCACACACAGTGATTACCACTAGTTTAACCAACTGAGCTAGTTGCTCTGAATTGCATTAATCAGGATGTATTAAATTGTAAATATATTTCATTTTAAAACCCAATTATAATATCATACTTTTAATTAATTTTTACTGGGAAAACAGTTTAGCAGCATCTGCAACATTGCAAGTGAGCAATAGAAACAATAATAAATTATATTTAAGAAGTATCACTATTTTATGGATATTTTATGCTTTATGAATTCATATATTTTCTGATATCTTAAAATAAAATCTAATGCAAATTTTGTTTTACACTCTGCTGTTTTGTATCAGTTGCCTTAAAATGGATATGTATGTAAATATACAAATATTCATTGTCACTACATTGCACTGCTGTCACCAGCATAAGCATATAATTTAGATAGGTGAAATCAATGATTACACATGAGAAAGAAAATGTAAGGCTTACCTGTTATACACAAATCCTAAAATTTGAATTATCTTTTTATCCATTTAGTATGAGTGAAGCAGCATTTGAGAGAGGGCGTCTTGGGCTGGTATGGTGTTTTTGCTTAATCCGTCTCTTTTTCTTACCAACTCATCTTCAGTCATACCTCAACATGGCTCAAGAACGACTTGATCAACTTCGTAAAGAGGCCGGGAAACTTACGTATCATCAATTATTACTACTGGTGATGAGCGTGTTTCGGTACTTGTGCGTTGTAGCTATACAATACATAGCTCCTGTCATTGTCATATTCAGTCTGTCTCTACTTCTAAATACATCCTGTAAGTGATATCGTCAAAAGTTTATTTCCACCAATGCATATGGTTTAACTTATAGATCTAACCAAAATAGTAAAAATAAATGCAAATATGTATCTGGGAAAAAAATATGATATAGACATAAAGTCTGTGTTATCGTTTCCCATGCTAATACTTTTGAATAATGTGGATAAAGTATTATACTCCATCATGTCTTTTTAGTTTTAACTCTAATGATGATGTAGATAATATCAACCTAATTCAATATATATTAAGTATTATGCCAACGTTTTTAAAGGGTTATTATTTTAGTGTACATACAACACAAATGATGAATTAATCGATATTGCATAATTATAAATGCAAAAGCATTATAAATGGAGCTAACTATGTCTTATGCCCTGTCCAGGATATCAAATTTTATTGGACAAAAACATGTGACATGCCTAAATATGGTCATGATGACATCACATCATGACTATATATGGGCATGCATCAGTTTTTTTGTCAAAGAAAATTTTATAATCTAAACAGAGCTGTAGATAAATTTAAAAAAATTATGTATTCTGATTTTATTGTTTTTTTCAGATGGTGCATTACAATTACAAGATCTGAGTGATTCTAACGTAGCTTCATCATCCGCAGTAGGGGGTCATTCTTTACCCTTGTTGTCGTATGCACTTATTTCCTTCATGCTGTGGTGGGCCTGTTTAGCGTGGCTTGCCACAAGTCTCTTAGGTGTTGCCTATCATTCTGTTTTATAAAAAAAAAATAAAAGTTCTTTAAAAAAAAAAACCGATAATTCTCTGTATTAAAATAATTTTAGCAAAATTATTTGTATAATAATGTTGCTAGAATTCCTTAAAAATATTGAAAGCAATTTCCACTCTAAAAAATGTAATGTTTAGTGTTTTATGTAACTAT